AGAATTGAACTCAGCAGCTTTGATGTATAACGAAGTACGTTTGTTGGCAGTTAAAGTCATGCCCAGAAATGCTGTATTTTATTCAGCGAATTCTGAACGACATGGAACAGCGAGCAACTGTTTTTACAATGACACAAAATATGTGCGTGCGATGGCGCACAAAATGCAAATTATATCCCGACAACATTGAATGAAGCAAATTAATGAGTTCCAGTATTCTGTGGACTCTTCGATCTTCTTTACAGCAGTGGATTAGTCGAAAATGAAGACCTACAAATGGTCAAACGATTTCGGCACGAAACGATTTGAATCAATCGATATGCACTTAAAACTGCGGACACGATCATGGGATGAACTGGAAAAACGTCTCTTCCAGGAGATCGAAAAAATTTTACGTAGAGACTTCGATACACATTAAAGCACGACGAGGGACCGAACGCAGTGTTGCTTGAAAGAATAATCAAGCAATCTAGCTCGGCTTGGGAGAAGGGAGAAAGAATGGTGGCGGAGTCCAGTTTATCAACAGCGGAAAATAAATGGCCTTCTCATCAATTTTACGTATAACGAATCTATGCGTTTGATCTCAGGCCAATAAAACCCTCAAAACCACCTAAATCTAAGTCCACACCACGAGCTCGATCCCATATTGACTGGCAATCTGCACATACGGTCGCTATGGAGGAATTCGACGCAAACTTGGGTGAGGATAGAAGGATGGTGAAAAATACATTGGTAAATTTAGCAGTGGTAACAGGAACAACAGAACTGATTGGACAGCAGCGATGGTGGAGACAGTCGGACCGTTTGTTAGTGAAAAAAAAAAAAACACTGAAGCAAATACAGCAAGCTGAAGTGATTGCAGTACTGCATGCTCGTCTAATGCCATCAGGTAATGCCATCAGTGATGGCACTACTTTGTTTTTTCTTTTTGCCGTCAACGAAAAAGTGTTAGTCTGTGTTACCTGAATACTGTACTATGGGCTGTTGTAGATTTTGAATTGGTGGGATCAGTGTGGAAATTGGTGAGGAAACGAGTATAGGCTATTTGACTAACACAACAATTAAATTTTTTCTGCTCCAATCGAGAGAGGGGTCAGGCAGCGCAATTCCATATAGCTCGAATTTTTCAAGGCTTGCTTACAATAGGGTATTTTGTAAGCTGCATTTGAAAGACAGTGCAGATGTAACGGTCAGGTGGCTAAATTATTTTTTTTCTACGAATGGTGTTAGTTTTCACCACGAGCAGCCTTAACGAAACAAGCGAGGTGCTGCAAAAGCTCAAACAAGGAAGTGCGCCTAAAAATTAGTGCATCAAAAACGAAAGTGATGCAAAGCATTTGTGTGCTTTGTGGCTAGACTGCAGAAAGATGGTGTTGATTTAAAAAATTTGACAACTACTGTTGCCTTGGCAAGTAACGTGTACTACTAGTTCCAGTGGAGACTGCGGTAAGAAAGGTTGCTGATTGGCGCAACTTACACTGCGTCATCGATGCCGTTAAACTGTCGAACAGGAAGCTCTGTCCACTTCAGTATCGCTCTGCGGAACATAGTGATGAATATGGAACATGAACACTAATGAAAGCAGAAGTGCGGACGCTGCCTGTTATAGGAGAGCAATGGAGCGAAAGATGCTTGAATTATTTCTCTGCGAGCATAATAAACAATCAGACTCTGTGAAATGAACGGCTGCCACTGCAAGCAGGAAAGAAAGTGGAATTTGATGAGCAGAACAGATTTTGCTCGCTTTGCTGACAATGGTAACAGTGGATGATGCTGGCAAGAATTCATACAATTACTCGGACGGTATCCAAAAACGCTGTGCACCTACGTCCATATTTTGAACAGGTGATAGGTGCTAACTGAAGGCATGCAGTTTAGAACTGAAGAGACTAACATAGCTGTGCCTGCCGCGTTGGAGC